TGACTCCTGCGCCCAGTGCACCATGGTCTGCGAGATCAGCTCCTGCAGCGTGCCTGGGGACAGGGGACATGGGGACACTGGGGACACTGGGGACAAACAGGGACATTGGGGACACTGGGGACACTGGGGACACTGGGGACAAACAGGGACATCGGGGACATTGGGGACATCGGGGACATTGGGGACACTGGGGACACTGGGGACACTGGGGACACTGGGGACATCGGGGACACTGGGGACACAGTGACTCCTGCGCCAGTGCACCATGGTCTGCCACCTTGGGGACATCTTGGCCAGCACCTTAGGGACAATTAGGCTGTGTCCTGGTGACATCCTGGTTGACACCTTGGGGACACCTTGGCCAACGCTTTGGGGACACTTCATGTGTCACCCTGAGGACACCATGACCAACTCCTTGGGGACACCTTGGCCAACTCCTTGGGGACACTTTGGCCAATGTTTTGGGGACACCTCGTGCGTCACCTTGGGGACACCTTGGCCAACTCCTTGGGGACACTTTGGCCAACTCCTTGGGGACACCTTGGCCAACTCCTTGGAGACACTTTGGCCAACTCCTTGGAGACACCTTGGCCAACTCCTTGGGGACACCTCGTGTGTCACCTTGGGGACACCTTGGCCAACTCCTTGGAGACACTTTGGCCAATGTTTTGGGGACACCTCGTGTGTCACCTTGGGGACACCTTGGCCAACTCCTTGGGGACACCTTGGCCAACTCCTTGGTGACACCTCATGCGTCACCCTGCTGCCACCTCGGCCATGTCCTGGACACAGCTGAGTGTCCCTGTCCCCACCGCCCTGTCCCCTCCTTACTGGGCACCGGGGGCTCCTCAGGGGGGGTCTCCTCCTCCTTGGGGGGCCCGCGGACCCCCACCACCTTCTGCACCAGCCCCAGCAGCCGCTGCCGCAGCGACGTCTCCTCCTCCTCCTCCTCTTCCTCCTCGGTCAGCTCCACGCCTGGGGAACACGGGGAGGGTCACAGGGGTGTCCCTGTGTCCCCAAGGGTCCCTGGATGGGTGTCCCCGTGCTCCTGGGGGTCTCTGGGGGCCCAGAATGGGGGTCCCAGTTCCACTGGGGAGATCCCAGTTCCTCATGGGGTGTCCCTACATCCAGGGGGGTGTCCCCATGCCCAAGGGGCTGTCCCCAAGCACAGGGGGTGTTCCCAAGCCCAGGGGGTGTCCCCA